ATCTGTGCTGTGTTGTCTGCTCCATTCAGTCGTATCTACTTCTAAGCCTTTCATCTCAAGTCAGTCTTCCACAGCCATCTTGTTCCTACTGTCAAGGCAATACAATGGCACACTCTTGAGACAGGTTTTCATTCTGCCATTATCTTCAGTAGCAGGTATTTGGTCTGCTCTGTTTTTCTCGCAGGCTCTTGATTTCAGCTGTGTCCAATAATGGGCATGGAATATTCCCCCCTTTTCTGTAGAAGATCTCTAACAGGCAGGATGAGAATCAGAAGACAGAGGGCAAGTCAGTGATCTTTCCTCAGCTCTCACATAAGTAGGTTCCACACTCCAGGTGGGCCATGTCCACTTTGTTAGTGCAACTGCCCACAGGCGTTGGAGCACCAAGGGGTTTTTGCCAGCTTGCTGGCGCTTCCCCAAGATGATCCAGTCTTCATCAGTGTGTTACCATGCGCATGTCTGTTCAATGAGGTAGCTGTGAGTTTCAGACAGAGAGATCCTGCCCTGTACTAATTAAGTGAACATAAAACTGCCTCTGATCTTTTAATAGAAAATCCTACTCAGTTGAAAATGATTAAGCTCTTGTGCCACTCACCACACCTCAATGTGACAGAACCCAGTGACAGGCTCACCTTCCAAGCTTAAGTCTGAGAGAGAACCACTCTTTTTGTAAAGGAGTCTGGCAGGTAACAGTCAAGAGTGAATGTGGGCAAGCTTCTAACTGCCAGTTCACAGAAAAGGGCAACACAGTAAACACAAGACAGTGTTAGGAAGAACAAGGTCTATCGTGGACAACTACACAACAACTCAATGCCAACAAACTGCAAACGCTGGATGGGGAATGATGGAGTGATATATACAGATTAAAAGATTCTTAGAAGACACCAATTTGAGATCCTGACTAAAACAAACCAAGCACAATCGTTTTTGACACTGAAGACAAAGGAAATGGGGACATTTACTAGATATTTGAAAAAACAAAACACAAAAAACTTCTTGTGTATATATAACCGGAATTGTGGTAGTTTTCTAAAAATATTCATCTTTTAAAGGTATGAATGGGGCAAGTTATGTAAAAAATTTAAAGTCTTAAATAAAAAGCTCAATAGCAACCATAGGCTAGGCTAAGATTAGACTCGAGTTGTTCCTGACACCTGGGACCACACTAAGGCACAGCCAGCCATCTTTATGAGTGTCCATCGCGTTAGAGCAGAAAAGACAATCCACAGTGTAACGATGGGAACTGGTGACCTTGCTCCTAAGACTAGGTGAAGCAAGCCTCATAAAACAGCTGAACCTGAGAGAAGTTCCCCGCCCTTCACTGCAGAGATGCGCCAAAGGTGAAGGGAAAACAGGATGGGATGAATCAAAGTAATGGTTCACATCAGCCTAAGGAAGGTCTATTTGATTCTTTGAAGTAAAAGCACCTCCAATTCCAGTTACTGTCCTGAGTGAAAATGGCTCCAGCCTCTCTGCCCAGCTTTTCTAGAACTTGATTTGGATAATGAACATGGAAGAGTGGAGAAATGAGCTTGGTGGATGTTTCTAGTGGAAATCCAAAGCTCTGGGTGGTGTTGATAGCCCCTTCTGCCGGCCTAGGTGTTCCACACATGATCCTGGGCTGCACCCACAGGAAACAAGACCCGGGAGCCAGGCTGCCCTGTCTGCTGCCACCCCCACTCTGTATAGTGTCAGAGTTAACTCCACATTCCTGGTTGTCTGATGTTCGTCTGTCACAGGGAGGTAACTACCTGCCTTGCCTCTTGTGGTTGACAGTAGGTAAATGAATCCACAGAAAGAGGTGTAAGTGACTCAACACCCAAACCCAAGTCCTTAGCACTGAGTGGGAATCTACTCACAGCTGACCCTCCAGCAGGTTTTCAGAAGTTATAAATTGTACAGGCAAATGTCCATCTTTCTCCCTCAGACCAGGTGGTGGGTGTGAACTGGCTGCATTAGTAAGCAATTCCCTACCTATTAGCACAAAGCAAATGGTCTCTCAAAGCTGGCTGTGTGTGGTGGGGTGTATATGTAGAGAATGAGAGAAATAATTATTTAGGGGCAGGACTCCATCCTATAAACCTTTTTCATCTGATGAGAATATGGCAATACAGTGGTTTGGTTTTTTTAAAATTTTTTCCTTTAAATTTGTACAGCATGTTCTTCCCATTTTTTTCTAATTCATTCATTGTTGCACATTTTCCTTCCTGCCTCTCTCTCTCTCTCTCCCCCAGTTCACTTTTCTCTGAAGAGAAAAAAAAATTCCTTGTTATACAATCCCCCACTCCACCAAGTACACTTTACTATGCATTTCTTTCTCTGGAATCTTGTCATGAAAATAATACCTAATCATGTCTTTCTTTTCAGCAGTTCTCTCCCTCATCTGTTTCAATGCAGTACACATTATTCCTCCCTTCTTCTCTTAGGTTCCCCCCAACCCCAATGTCAGTCCCATTTTACAACAGTGGCACTATACAGTATTTGTCCATTTGGGACTGAGATATTTCCCTCAGCATTATGTCCTCCATGGTCACCCATTCTGTAAAATATTTCATGATCCTTGTTTTTCAATGCAGCATAGTATTCCACCGTGTGAATATACCACAGCTTCTCTATCCATTTGTTTGTTGGTGGGCACTTGAGTTTGTTTCTTTGCTATTGTGAACAAAGCAGCAATAAACATAGGTGTGCATGTATCTGCTTGGGTGGCAGTTCTGGTTCCTTTAGGGTAAATTCCCAGTAGTGGAACTGCTGGGTCATATGGTATTTTCATTTCCAACTTTTTGAGCAAGTGCCATCCTGCCTTCCATAGTGGTTGTACCATTTTACACTCTTACCAACAGTGATTAAAGGTTCCAGTTTCTCCACAACCTTGCCAGCATTTGTTTGCTGCTCTGTTGAACTTTGCCATTCTTTACTGGGGTGGGATGATATCTCATAGTTTTGATTTACATCTCTTTTAGAGCTAGGGATTTTGAACACTTCACTTATTTGTTCACCATCTAAATGTCTTCTTTGGTGAAGTATCTGTTCATATCCTGTGCACATTTTTCAACTGGGTTATCTTGTTGTGGTGCTTGAGTATTCTAGAAATTCTAGATATAAGTTCCTTATCAGACATGTCATTGCCAAATATTTTTTCCCCAGTCTGTGGCTTCCCTTTTTAGCCTGTTGGAGGTTTTGGTTGTACAAAAGGATTTTATTCTTAGGTCCCATTCATCTATTTCATCCTCTCCTGGTTATAGGTTATACAGTGATTTTTTTTTGTGAGAAAAATGTGTATCCGTTTAGATGATCCCAATTTTGTTGGCAACGTCCAAAGCATCATAATCAGGAGCAAGTCGAACACAGGCCTCCTCCTCCTCCTCTCCATCAGGTCCAATCAAGGAGTTGACCTTGGTCACATCACTATCATTGCGTTTCTTTATAGTTTGTTCGATTTAGTGCTCGGTGGCCTTGACATCCACAGTGTTGCTGCTACTTTCTATCTTCTTCATGGCTGACTCAGTGTTTAAGGGAAACTTGATGATGGCAGTGGTCAAGCTTGTTTCTCCTGGGGGCACTCTTCCAGGGGTATTTGGGCTGCCTTCAAAGTCTCAATGTATCAGGCTGCCAAAAGGTGGGTGATGTGTGGATCTTTTTTTATGTGGCTGTGGATGCCCTTCAGGACGTCTTCTTGGCTTTTAGCACCTTCGCTTTGGCTTCAGTTTTGAGAGGGGCAGGGGCTTCCTTTGCTTTCAGCACAATCTTTGCAGAAAGTGGCAATACAGTTTTCAAAGACATCAAGATGATTCAGAATATTCTCATTTCTGGGTGCCGATACTCAAAGGGGTGGTGTTAGTGGAGCTGTTATTGCACAAGTGTGTAGGCTCTATACTGAAAAGTAAAATAAAAGGAAAAACCATCCCCAGGATGAAATCTGTCCTTAGCCAATTAACACCCAGGATTTCATTTTGGTTCTCCTTAAAGTAAAATACAGTGCAAAGTATCTGTTTCAATACATAATGAGCAAACTTGGAAATAATGGATTCTTAAAACTGTAATACAGCACAGACAAAAAGGAAAAAAAGAACAGATGAGTGGTTTTTCTGGACATAAAATATTTATTAGGTGTACTTTGGGGAATATAGTGAATATAAAACGTAGGATCACAGTATGAAGCAATTTCAGCCTTCTCCAAGGTCAGCGCTGCCCCCCCGCCCCCCCACGCTCTGCAGACGTGGAGCCCCGGTGGGGATTCTCTGCGGCTGGAGGGGAGGGCAGTGCAGTTGGAGCTGCGGCATTTACAACGAGCGCACTTTGGGAGAATTCTTTAAGTGCAAAACCACACCACATTACACTAATGCAGCAACAATGCATCCGGGTTCTCGTGAGTCATTAGTAGTCAACTTGCATAAAACACCAGAAAGAAGCACAAATGGAGGCTCACATAATGGGCTAAAAAATGGGCTAAAAATGAAGCGGTCCTTGCAAAAACGCACACTGCGATGGGAAGAAGAGACACAACTACAAGGTTCTGCACAGCACAAGCTGGCTTGTCCTGCACAAGCTGGACTGTGGGGCTGCGGGATCGCGGGGCCGCAGGACCATGGAGCCACTGGACCGCGGACCAGCCGCTTCCTCTTCCGTAATCAGATCACAGGAACGACTAGCATAGGGGGGCAGTGAGTAGCTCAAATTTCATTTGACTGATTGTTCAATGATTGTTAAAATCCCCACCAATCTTTTTCTGTCCTGAGGTAGTTGCAAAATAAATCCTAACTTGGCTCTCACCGAGGGCTGAGGCTCTGACTCTTCATTCACTGAACTAGTTGTCGCTGGCAGGAAACTACCTTTGATAATACAAAGACAGCTGAGCAATGGGTCTCTTCCTACACACAAGGATGGCTATGTGCAAAGAGGATTAGCTGCTTCAGAACTCCAGCAATGGGTCCGGCGCATCCCCCCCACCCCTCAGATTTTCATCGTTGTCCAGGAGGGACGCGGCAGAAGTGGACAGATCACCGCCCTTTGCTGTAGCCAGGGAAGAAAAGGTCGAGCAGAGTCTGGAGGTTCTCATTGGGAGTCATGACGTAGTTCTGACCGAGGTCACGTCGGCAAGCCGGACAGGAGAACACCTGAGCCTTAAAGGAGCGCTGCAAGCAATCCTGGAGCAAAACCAAACAACAGATCCCACCTGAGGAGCCAAGCCTGCAGAGAGACACCCCACAACCCAGGCTTTGGAAAACAAATGGCCAGCTCCCTGCCTGGTGGACAGGAAGTCCCCACGACAGCAAGTGGACAGCCTGAGACCACCCCAGGGCGGCAGGAGGGGAGTGAACAGGCCTTTCTGTGCCTTCATTTTCTCCTGTAGAAACGAGGGTGTCAGAAATGAGGTATGGTTCCTGCTAATGGGTTGGATTTGAATCTTGTGCCTCTCTGATGACTTGAAAACTCGGGATTTCATGTTATTTTTAAAATCCACTCACATGGACCAGCTAGAACGAAGTTAAATATTTTAACAAACCACTCAACACAGGGGTAAGGTTTGTTCTCAGATTTCAAAAGAACTAAGTTTAGGGAGCTCTGGTGGCCTAGTGGCAAGATGCTGCACCGCAATCCCAGAGGTATGCGGTTCAAATCCACCAGATGCTCTGCTGAAGAAGGAGGGGGCAATCTCCTCCTGTACCAGGCAGATCTGATTTGATGGTACACGCAAAAGTAATACAATTTAAAAAAAAAAGAACAAAAAAACAAACTAAGTTTAGAGGAGAGGCGAGGCAAGATACTGAGTCAGCTGACACTCCAGCCAGATTCTGGTGTTGGTGTGACAAAAACGCAAACCTCCTTTTACACCATCAAGTTCAACTTGACTGGGCTAGGTGCCAGGCAGAGTTTGTTTCAGACTCTTTATTATATACAAGGAAACAACCACTCCAGTTTGCATGCAAACATGAAACATACATGAGCAGTAATCTATAAAACACCCTGCCCTCAATAACTCTAAACCTCAAAGAACATACTGGAATCCCTCTGACTAAAGGGGAAAAAACTATGCATTAATCACCAAGATGTAATCAATGCTTGTCAAGTAGCAAAGTGGTGTAACTAGTCTGCTTTCTGCAAAGACCCACTAAAACCTGCCCCGTTTTCCTAGGTTTCAGAAGCTCCGTCTGGGACCAGGCCAGTCTTACCCCTTTCGAATTGCTCACTTTTGTGGGAAATATTTGTGCTTTTCTTCTCTAGCAGGTTCTCACCTTACAGAGACCTTGCCTTTCACAAGTTTTACTGAATTTCATGTGTGAAAAATGGGGTTCTGCAGTCAGAGGGCCCCTCAGGAATGTCTACTTACTTTACAGACATTGTGGAGGCACTCCGTTGTTACAGGCTGGTAGACCAGCTCCTGACAACACACACACATAAAAGATTGCTCCAATTTCTTCAGAAAATTCTAGAATGGGACCCAAGAGGAAGACAAAGGTTTATTTCAAAATGCACTGATTAAACTCTCAGTGATGAACAGTCTTAAGTCACATTTAGTACATTTTTCACTAAGGGGGGAAAAAATAACGTCGTAACTAATCACTTGAGAAAAAAGAAACTCTTATGGCAGTAAAAGGAAGAAATGCAATCCTCTAAGCCAGACATATTAGTTTTTAATCATAGCGTTTGACTATAGAGACTGTCATCCAAGTTCATGACATCAGAGAGTAAAAGTCCCCCTAAATCTCATGTTCCAGAGAGGTTTACTGCTGTCCACTTAAAAAAAAAAACCAACATAAAAACCATGGACAGCTTGTTAAGGCCACGACATGCTCACATGTAGATCTACTAATCTTCAAAAGCTTTCACAGTAGTCTAGGGTATGAACATATACAACAACAACAAGAACTTTCTGTAATAGTGCCTCTATGTACGCTTAATATATACCCTGAATATGTAGCATAGCACAAATATACATGTTATCTCTGAAGTTCACACACACACATACACACACATCTATATAAATGAAAATAAATCCAGCCTGGTTCATTTTTGCCATAAGTGGGGAACAGGCATCCACTGCTGAAGACAGAGAATCGTGAACTTCAGCAAGCGAAGAAGGGGGACGTGATGTAGCAGAAACGTGTCAGCAAGTGTTCTGCGGTGGCACCAGCACGTTGTGAGCTAGTCCAGCAAGTTTTCTGCCTTTGATGAAATACAGTTTTATTGCTTTCCTATCACTTCTTTTAGTGGAAAATATAGCAAAATTGGTGAAAGCTATAAACCTGTCAATGAAAGAGAGTGTAACTATTTTCCACCAAGATGGCAGTGAGAAGACGGCATCCTGGAAAAGGCTGCAGACTTGCATGGGCTAGAAAGCAAGGCATCTGGCCCTCTAGGTCTCCGTGCGTTATGACACTTTCCCAATGTATTTCAGTGTGTTTATGCCTCAACTAAAAATGGTTCCCAGGAAGCGTGGCTGAGTGTATTTACTGGCATTCGCTCACCTCCCACCATCACAGCTGGCCCTCAAGCTGGCTCCAAGGCTGTATGTCACCTGGAGATGATCTGCTTGCCTCCCCCCTTGGAGCCACTGGTGGATTCGAGCTGTGAGTTCTCTACACCGTGTCACCAGAGCTTTCTTACCAGGAGGTCACAAATCAACACTCAAGTGAATGCCAGAGTCTCCCAGTATTGCCTCATACTGTATATGAAAGGGCGGGCAGATCACAGTTCCTAAAGCAACGAGTCTTCCTCACGCGTTCGCATTAGAACATTACGTCGAGGAGGAGTGCTACGTACCGGGCCTTCCACGAGCGAGGCGAGCACTTCGTCCCACAGCTTCTGGTTGTGGCGATCTTCTCGGATGAAGTGCTGCTGCTGGGGAGTGAGCTGGAACGCCTCCACAGCTTCTGCCGAGTCGGACATTCTGACCACTTTGGAGGCACTTGGACACTCATCTAGATTTATTCAGAAATGTGTCAGCAAGTGTTCCGTGAGAACCATGGAGCAAAGGCGTCCCCGGCAGGTGGGGTCGGCAGAAAGAGAGCCCCGAAAGCGGCACCCACCCCCCAGGAGCTCTGAGCCTGGACCTGCTGCTGCTTCAGTTCTGGCACTAGTCTGCCCACTCTGATGCATCTCCTGTCCCGTCACCCCCCCACCCCCCCGACCCAACTCCCTCTTGCTTTTAACATCTAGGAGTCTCTCAACAGATTCTCCTCCTCAGAAACTAGGCTGCTGAGAATGACTTTCTGAAGTAATCACCTACCATCGGAACAAGCCCTTTTTGAGGCTTCTCCACCCTGTTTCTTGGACTGTCCTTTCGTCTTCTTGGCGTCCTTGTCTGAAGGATAGCCTGCCGGATACTGATGGGGAAACAAAGCACACACGGTGTCAGCTTCACAGAGGAGGAGGGTTTCAGATCAGAGCCTGGTGCTTTTTGAATAGGGAGAGGGCAAGAGTCATCGGTGCTCCTCCCCAAATGAAAAGACTTTGTATCAAGGAAACATCCATTTAAAGAACAGAGAATTCACAGGACAGAAGACTATTAGAATTCCAAATTCTGTGTAAAAACATGTAGCTTTGATTCTGAGATATCCATTTTATAGCAAAACCATCTTTTCAGGCCTCACAGTTTCAGATCTAAGAGATCAAAGTTAATGCCCTCAGAAGCTGTGATTATGTCTGGCTTGAAAAGTCTGAGGAAGAGACAGAGGTAGAATCCAGATACGAAGGTAAGTGAAGATCAATCACAGAGCACAAGAGACGGTAATCAAATAGATGGGCTAATTGTGGGGTCACTGTAATAAAAAAATGGAGGAGCCAATTTCTCACCTCTCCAAAGCAGAGGAGGGGGTGCTCAGAAGACATAAAGCTACTCAACTGCTGAACTGTCTACCAGCCAAGGTCAGATTTTGAGGAATAAAATCTTCCTCATCTCTGTTTTGCCTATTTCAGGGTCAAGTTTGTGATAACGCTCATATCCAAAGCACAACACGCTCAAGGCCTCATCAATCACCTTTAAAACTCACCAAAGCAGATGGACAAATGTGCTTCATCTATAGTTTCAAATCCCCTTGATGCAGACCAATGGCATATGAAAATATTTTGAAAATGGATCTAATATATTTTTTTCCAATATTTAGTTACCAAAAAAAGGTTATTTTAGCAGCTGATGAGTCTCACCGAATCAATCAACTGTATGTGTTTAAAAACAAAAACAGAAATAGAGACGCACCAGAAGACACACACTCATCTGCCTGGGTGGCCAGACACCTGCCCACAGTTCAGCCCCTACACATGCAGAGTGGCCACAGCCAGGGGAACGACAAAGCGGGGAGTCTGGTGGGACGTGCAGTGAGGGGGAATGGTGGGGAGAACTCAAACTGTGCTCTCAAGCCAGTGCCAGGGGAATCTGGGGGTACAGCAGTGAGGCGGAAGGCAGCCACAGCATCGACTGTGCACAAAAAACAATGTCTAGTGTGGGCAACAGCTGAGCATAGGCCAAGGGGACACAGCCAGGCACTAGAGGTGGTGACAAGGCGGGGAAGCGGCTTTGAGGAGGGGAGAGAAAAGGGGTGAGGAGAAGTGAGAAGGGTAGAAAGCAGACCACTCTTCTAAGCCAGCTCCCTCCTCCCCTGACCAAAGAAACTCCCCCTGGGCCCCTTCTCATGATCTTCTGTCCCAAAGTTTACTCATCCCTTCTGTTCACACTGTATGTAAGTCATCTCCAAATGGAAGTGCAACTATTTCACTTTTCACAGACAAGCCCGGCTCTTCTCAAGCACAACTCTGGGTCTTAGGAAGGCTGTGCCTCCAATGCCATCTCCACTGTCATGCTTGCCCAGTTACACACGTGCACGGGCCTCCTCACCCCAAACAGGCTACTGAATAATCGCTGTGAGTTCTAGCCAATGTTAGAGAGCATAGGCTGCAAACAGGCACACATTTTACAAACACACAAGTGGTCTAGACAAAGGCGATTAACCTGTAAACGTAGGCACAATCTCTTTGACCGTTCCATTCCTTCTGAGGTCCAAGGAGCGGGCTCAACATCATCTCTTCTTAAAAGATAGCGCCAGACCAAGAATCCATGGCTCGATGAAATCTCTGGCCAGTATTTCACCACCTGGATCAAAATATGCCAGTATTACTTTGAGATTTCAATTTCTGATGTCTTCACAATGTCACATCAGTGGTTTCAGTAAATGTGTCAGACCTAAGTATCATTTCAAAAAATACTTGTTTTGCTCTAAGACTAGTGAATAAGTCAGGAATATGTGCTACAACTCTGTTCTGACTAAAAAACTTGCCAATAATCTGGTTTACATAAGTAAAGATTGTTATTAATCTGAAAGAGCAGACTCCCTGCATTAGGGAAATTCTGCACACGAGCAGGCAGGTCTGCCAACAGTAACTGATCTCACTGACACCGAGTCAGAACCGACTCACGGGGACCTCCGGGCTTTGGAGACGAGTCACACAAGGGGAGACTGCCTATCTCCATGCTGCAAAACAGGCAACCCTGTTTACACAAACAATGTAAACCTGTTTCTAATATCATACTGGGTTCTTAAAATGTGGAAATCTATTAATAGACTCAAATCATTCTGAAAAAGGATCCAGATCTGTAACGGTAGTTTACAGAACTTATTTTTATCACAGAGAATCTAGTCACTTAAGAACCTTGCTCTCCAAATAGAAAGGCAAAGCAGCAGAGCTCTGAGCCCGCTCCGTGCGGCTCTGCATTTCCAGAGGAAGCAGACACCCCAACCAATCGGCTCCTTCCCGCCCCAGCCCTCCTTGAACACCCAGGGAGGAGAGGGGACGCCTCGCGGTAGCGTATCGAGCACCTTGTAAATGCCATCGTATCTGTTGCCTTCTTCAGGAGCATATTTGCTGATCTTCCTCCCTTTAAAACTGCGGATCACTCTGACCGGCTTACCAGCTCTCCAGTTCCGAGACTCTGCTCCAATTTTATCATCCAATGGGGCATCACAGTTTAGGGCCAATGCCCTAAAAGACAAAACAAAGTCTTTATACCAAGTACTCTTTCTTCAAGCGCATAATCGAATCAGTGGCTCAAGTAAAAAGTGAATTATGCCTTACCTGACGGTTAAGATTCTACGATTCTTTCCATATTATTCCAGATAATAGGATTATGCTTTCCCCACCAGCAGAGAAGACAAATCAGTTTTCTGATGTCACCCCCAAGTCAAGGGATTGGTTCTCAGATAGCCTGTAGGGTTCTTCTGAAAGTAACAACATCTGTGCCACGTATAATAGAAAACAACTAGAAATACATGGAATTTTCTTTAGATAAAGTTGGTTGTGGAGAGGGAGGATGTTGGAAAACTAAAGCCATGACCGGTTTGAACAAGTTATGTTTGAAGGGAGTGGGGGAAATTGCTGGAAATGTGTTGGAAGAAACGCAGCAAAATCATGATGCCAGCAAGGGACAAAAGACGTTCCCAGGTCTACTTTTTACATATCAGATAACAAAGAATCCTAATTATTTAGAAAAGTATTAAGAACAAGTTTAATATGGGAAAATACTTAAAAGCCTCCAACAAGACAGAAGTTACAATGATGCATCCAAATACCTGTGCAACACAATTTTGACAGTCAATCAGTCAAGACCTAGGCTTGACTCACGTTCACTCTCTTTGCTGAGGACACCAGGACAGGAAGGAAGCCTGGGGGCTGAGGGCTGAGGCCAGGGGGTGTCTGACTCAGCTGAAGCTCCGGCCGAGCACTCACTTGACTACACACCTCAGAAAGCCCTTCCTGGAGAGCCAGTCGGCCACAGACACTAGAGCCTAATCATTTATTAGCAGTATTTTCCCTGCTTTTCAATTTACTTAAAAAAGACAGCACAGGGAGCAGATCAGGAGTAAAAAAAGGGGGGGGGGGAGTGCAATGAAGCAGATGCAATCTAGTGAAATCAGCACAGGGAGCATATTAAGAGAAAAAGGGGTGATGGTGAAACAGCAGATGCAATCTAGTGAAATCAGATATAAAAATACTTTTGGGGTACAGTTCTCGTTATGCAGGCTCAAATGGAAAATCAGGTGGTAAGACTGACTATCCTACTGAAAAGTAGTCATGTGTTTAAGAGGAAGTGAACTTAAGGATGAGTTCTGCTCCTAAGCGTAGTTTTAACAGGTGTGGTCAAAGACCTAAAGCCTGCCAAGGGACCTCTAACGCAAGTGGAACGCACGAAAACCTGGGAGGAAAGAAAAACAGAGGGATCCTCTCTAGGTTAGAATGACATCGTCTTTATGGAGTATCTGCCCACTCACAAGTCACTTCAGGTCTAACAATGCCACCACTGACTGCAACACCATCTCACTTCCTCCTCAGACGAGGCTGTCCAGGCGTCTGACAGGATCCCAAGGGAGTTAAATAATGACCAGACAGCAGCAAGGCTCACCCATTACTCTCCCTGCAGCCTGAACAACTGGCTGCCTCCAATTTTTCTAATTATCACGGTGCCGCACACTTTTAAACTGACGACTGTGCTTAGAAACCTATTTTGCCATCATTTGCGGCAACGTGTTAAATCACCTCCCTGTCCTCCTCAGTCTCTGAACTGGAAGACCCACGAATAATCAAGAAAGACTTCTCAGAATCAAGAAGCAGGTGACAAATTACCTCTTAGTCAAGAAGTAAACCTGAACTGGACTGTACACTACCTGGGAAAAAAGAAACTATGGCCAGAGCTAAGGGCTCTCCAATCTGTTTTCATGTTTGTAAGATAAAAAGGCACCTATGCCTGAGGCTCCGACAAACACAAGACCGATGTCCAGCTTCCCACATAAGCAACTGCCTGAATCTTAGTTTTGCTGACGGGTCAGTTCCGAAGCCTTTCACGGTCTTAAGAGCAAACATTTTCGAAGTTCGTCAATTTTCTAACATAACATACAGTAAATAAAACGCAACAGAATACTCCAACTGAGTGGTTTCCTCTCATGGCCACCCTCCATCAGTTTTCGGCAGCTGCAAATCTAAATCAAGGAGAGTCTAGTTTCTCTCCTGAGGGGCAGCTGATGGATTCAAACAGCTGACCCTTGGGCCAGCTGCCAAACATGGAGCACACCATGCTACCCTGGCTCCTCTAATGGGAAACAGGACATTATCAGACTGTTCAAAATCAGAAACCTCCAATGGACATTACAAATGTACATTAGTTACGAAAGACATTTCAATCAAACAAGGTAATCTAATTAAAGGGGAAACAGGAATTTTGTATTTGACAGTCTGAAAAGGCCATTGTGCAAATTCAAAATACACTCGCATGGACAGAACCCTTTTAGAGTATTTACGGTTCTTCTTAAGGCCCTTTCTCCAGAAGAGCCAGAGACATCTAACTCATTTTTGGTGGAGAAAGAATTTGAGGAATGATTTCACCAGCAAACCTGACCTGCCTCCTCTGCTGGTTTAGTCAAGTAATCCTACTGTCAGTAATAATACAGACGACAGACACGAAAAGCACACCCTATGTCACCTAACAGGTGGTAATTTTTCATTTCACACAGTAATTAAAAATTAAGGGGGATACTATTTAAAACTGAAAACTGAGTAATTGAGACTCAAAGAAGTGGGGAAAACTTGGCTTCCATGCTATTCATATCAAAACACCTTTAACAGCAGAATATTTAAAATGTCCAACCCCACAAAACGATCAAGAAAATGATCAATATAACAAGTTCTCCTGCGGAAGTTGTTATCTGATGGCGTGAGCTGTTGGCATGCACTTAGGAAAGAAAAGCCTTCAAAGCGGTTACACTGTTTCCACAGGAGCTGGAGTATCACTACTGCAAGGGCTGCAGGTCAGTGTACTCGGGAGTGGCCTTTGGGGCGCCTTAAGGGCACTGAGTCAAAAGAGGGCATCACTGAACAGTCCCCTTTATAACATTTCAAAAAGCACTGTGATAAATTGGTATTGACGGAATGCTACTTTAAGTCAGACCTAGTGTGCAGATCAATCACCTTCTGCTCAACGTCACGTAAAATCATACAAAGTTCTTTTCTTTTAAGGTATCAACAAGTTCTCAAAGGCACCTTTCCTTGAAAAGTGTCAACATGTTAAGGAAGATTGGAGTTTAAGAGGAAATAAGTTAGGATGCTTACAAGCAACTATTGTTTTAGAGCCTTTCTTTTAACTCTCAATGGAAGACTTCTGCAGTTTAAATTACAAAGGATATACACCTATAATCAAACTTTTATGCAAAGCCCAAATTCTTAACAATCTTCAGTCTACTTATCAGCTCTAACGAGGAAGAGTACCTGTTCATGTTTGTCAGCGTCTGGTCAGCCGATGGGGCACCAATTCTTTTATTACCAGCAAGGTTTTTACCTCCACTTCCCGTGTATGTGAACTCATCACCTCGGTCCTGAGGAGAAAGGTTTCTGCGTTAAGACACCCACAGCCATGTATGGTTTTAAGAGCTGCTATCTCAGCGTGCGCAGGGGTTAAGCACGAACTAAGAGGCTGGTGACTCAGACCCACCAGCTGCTTCAAGGGAGACTGGAGAGGCAGTCTGCTCTGTAATGCTCAGAGAGAGAACATCTGCTTCAGATGCTACGTGCTGGCAGGCTCTCTCCAAGGATCTACCAAGAGAAGGCAAAATGCAAACACAATTTGTGTGCTGGACACCTTCACATTCTCCCACCTGCCCGAACTTCCACGGTGAAGTTACACTTTCCAATAACTCAGTTGTAGCCAAATGCTACATGGGAGGTACCTTCTAATATAGAGCCAAAAAAAAAAAAATCAACATAATATTTCAAAAGGAGTCAGATGGCCTCGAGATATTGTGTTAAATATTTATATTTCATTAAAAACCATAAGAAAATCAATACTCATTTGTAGATTCTTTAACAAGCATTCCGCAACTGAATTTTCAATCTTTTCCGTACCTGTTTACTGATAAAGCTCAAATTCTGAAGTGGACATTAAGTTTGTTTTATAAAGCAAACTTACGTAAAAATCTCATAGAAAACATTATTAAACTCCCTACATGTCATATTCTGTAGATTCACCAATATTGCACAAAGGCAATAGAATCATCTACCATTTACACAGCGAGGAACAGAGGATTGATCCCCAAAACTGTCATCTCAAAACCACCCTGCATTCCAAATGTGTAACTGAGCCTCCTGTCCTCAGAGACCTCCTTTCTAGCGGACTAGCAGAGCGGCCCCAATAAAGAAGGGATATTAAAGGAAGCCTGGTGCTGTACCTACACCATCTGCATGAAACCAAAGGGGCAACAATTTCCAAAAAGAGGAGAACACAGGGAGGGGAGAATCAGAACAAATCAGACACAGTTAAAGAGCACACAGACACAATGTGTAAACGTGATATAACCAAGCAGCTCAATGAGGGCCATCATATGGAAGCCTAACTTGTCATGTAAACTTTGATAAAGAATTCATTAAATTGGAATGCTCCATCCAGAATTAGGGAAAAGGCCTGGATTTCTGAGTCCCCGATTGAAGTGCCGCCCCTTTCTGGGCCATCCAGATCCGAGCTGACTGTAGTATTGAGAAGCCCTGCCATGGACCCACCAGCACGTAAAGAAAAACCCAAAGTTAAAGAACCTGTCAACAGAGTTGAGAAGGCCAAGCAGAAGTCGGCCCAACAGGAGCTGAAACAAAGACAAAGAGCGGAGATCTATGCCCTCAACAGTCATGACAGAACTGGAGCAGCAGCAGTTTGATGAGTTCTGTAAACAGATGCAGCCTTCTGGAGAGGGAGTCACCTCTGGTTCAAACTCAATGGGACCCTCCAAACACTGTCTGCCAGCCTTGCTACCAGTTTGAAGCAGAGATGGCTCATTTGGAGCCTTATACAACTGGATAAGACGACGACTGTGTTATTCCTAAAACTGGATAAATCTGATTTCCCCTTCACTGGTTCCTCCAATCAGAAATGTCCTGACGCTTTTCGAAGAGACTTGTTTTCTTCTAAAATAATAGATTTTTAAAAAATCCTTTTTTATTATTTGAGAAAAATCAATGTTTTTGTGAGACTGTGTATCTTTACCAACAATAAAAAGAAAATGTCCGGGGAGCTCTGGTGGCCTAATGGCAAGGAGCTGCAACTACAATCCCAGAGGCACATGGTTAGAATCCACCAGATGCTCTGTCTGCCGGGGAAGGAAGGACAATCTCCTCCTGTACCAGTCAGATCTGATTTGACGGTACACACAAAAAAATAATAAAAAATAAATTTTTTTTTAAAAAAAGAAAATGTTCATTTGTCCATCAAAAAAAATTCATTAAATTATTTAAAAAGGAAAAAAGTAGGAAAAGAATTTCATTTGAATACTGAAGAGACAGTATGAAGTGTACTTGAGGCAAAACAAGCTAAAATATTTCTATACTATCTACAAATTCACAAAGATACACTTAAGTCTCTACCTGATTTGAGTATCACAATAAATGGAGAAAAGAAACTACCAGTATCTAAATTGTGTTAACACTAGCTAAGTCATGATTATTCATCCATGCAAGATCATTTTAATCTATTCTGAATGATTATAAATAATGACATTCTTTTCCTACTAAGTACAGGTTTTCCCTTTCCAAAAGACTGTTCCTACAAAACCCTTTGAATGTCCAAATGGCATAAAACAAAGATTTACAGTTAATTTATATTAGAAAAACATTCAGAGAGTTTCATTCCCGGACCCCAAAAATAATCTACCAAATGATGCCAAGTAATGTGTGAAACCTAAAATAACAAGAACGTGGGTGCATGATCACTGTCACAGATCAAATCTTCAGCGGCCTGATTCCGAGCGCACTTCCTGGAGACAGGGCTTCAGGACACCACTCTAGGTGTTTGGGATCTGCACAGTGTCTTGAATGGCTTGCTATAAAACAAATACTAATTGCTAATTACTTCTCTCCCCTCTCATAAAAGCAAAAATCCTTCTGGGGAAAACAAATACGAATGTAGGTCTTTCATAAAAATGCAGTGGTAATTACACCATTAAAAAAAAGTTATATAAAATGAACTTTTGAAAACCAAGAGACACCTGAAATTACTTAAGAGAAAGGTCAATTACTAGTATTTCATTATTTCCTTTCTACTAAAAGCTTATTCAATCTGTAACCTGAGCAAACTATCCAAGAAGCTGGACTCTATATGAAGAGGAGTGAGTTTGGCATCAGGAGTGGAGGGAGACTCATCAATAAACTGCATTATGCAGATGACACAACCTTGATTGCTGAAAGTGAGAAGGGCTTGAAGCACTTACTACAGAAGATCATGGAATGCAGCCTTCAGTATGGACTGCATCTCAATGTCGAGAAAACAAAGATTCTTAACCACTGGACCAACAGGCAACATTATGATGGATGCAGAGGAGACTGAAATTTTCAACAGCTTCATCTTACTTGGATCCACAATTAACACCCTTGGTACCAGCCATCATGCACTAGGCTGGGAAAATCTGCAGTTAGGGAACTCTCCAAATTATTGAGGGGGAATGATGTCAGTTTGAAGATTAAGGTGTGTCCCTGATTCAGGCCATAGTCTTTCTGATCACTTGCTATGCATCTGAGAGCTGGATAATGAATAAAGAAGACAGAAAAAGAACTGACACCTCTGAACTGTGGTGTTGGAGAAGAGCACTGACTCTCATGAACAGCCAAGAGAACAAACAGATGTCTTGGAGAGGGTGCAGCCAGAGTGCTCTTTGGAGGCAAGAATAATGAGGCTTCGCCTGACATACTTTGGGCATGTTGTTAGGAGGGGCCATTCCTTGGAGAGGGACACGACACTGGGAAGGGTGGAGGGTTGGTGAAAGGAGAGGAAGACCCTCAACCAGGTGGACTGACACAGTGACTGCCACAATGGGCTCTGGTGTGTCAGAAAGTGTGAGGATAGCACAGGATAGGGTTGCTATGACTCAACTCCAGGGCACCTAACAACAACATTAAAAGAAGTAACTGTAAGTTCTATGGTTTTAAAAATGTTTCTATTGAGTCCACAATCCCAGCTGTTACTGATGTAATAAAATGAGATGCCAGCCTTAGGTCTATATTTTAATGGATTAAGACATTACTCCATACCCCTCCCTTTCCCCCCTCGTTTCCTGTTTAATGTTATGTTCCATGTGAAGAAATTCTATTAAATAGGTCTAGAGCCATGCAGTACATTTCCCTAAATTTGTCAAAAAACCATCTTTCAAATGGCACACTGCCGGATTCATAATGCCGCATTCATAACCATAGCAACAACTCAGAGTTCTGCTCTCTTTCAGCAGTACTTAAGTGGAAAGGAAAAAAGGTGAGGCGTGGGAGAGTATGCTGGGGCAGCTTGACCTGAACTGTGCTCAAAGCAGAACAAACACATTTCTGAGTATTCTTTAAGCAGTGAATAATCACGTGAACTCAATTCAACTTCTGTAATATACTCATTTGAACGGCAATCTTAAAAACAAAAAATTTTGTGTATCCAGAAAGTAAGGAACTTCAACCTACAAAAGTTCAGCCAGTATTATCTGACTCCTTCAGTTCTCCTGATGAAAAAAAAGACGAGATTCAACTGAGTGCAATGTCTCGTCTGTGAGTCACTAACTAAACTGTTTGAAAGATGAGACTTTCACCCCAACTTAACCTCCTGTAAAGACAACCAGATACACCATCCTAAAGTACAACTAAGATCACTGCATTCCCCCCAAAAAGCCACAAAGGATCATTTCCTTCACCAGACTTTCAAGGGTATCTATAATACAGCCTCGATTTCTGCCATCTCCTCACTCATGACACCTCTACAGCAGGTAAACCAAGTCACTTTCAACTCCTGGAGACCCCACATGTGCAGAGTAGAACCACCCAATCGTTCTGAAGGCTGAGACTTTTTGGAAAAAGCCTGGCATAGCTCTCCTCCGGGCACCTGTGGGTGAGTTAACCACCAACCTTACTAGTATTTGAGAGCTTAACCATTGGTCACACCCCAGGACTGTTAGTACTCTTCTGATGCCTGCAAAACTGGGTACTACCACCAGTCCTGGTAACATCAGCCTAGCACTTACTGTGTATACACTGGGTGTCACTTCACTTAATTATCACCCTCCAAGGCAGGTGGCCTAGTCCGTAGGGGGCTACAGACTGCAAAGGCCGTACCTTCGAGGAAGAAAGGGGGCAATCTCCTCCCATAAGATTTACAGATTTGGAAAACCTGTTGGGAGGGTCAGTTATGAGGCAGTTTCAATTGGATGAAACTGAGATTTCACTACGAGACTGAATTGTCAAGTTGCTAGTCTGAAACAGTACTGAGTTTATCTCAACAGATACTCAATTCGGCCTATTCTAAAGCCCAAGTCCAACACTAGGTTAGCTACCTTTTTGTTGTTGCTATTGTTCTTGTAATCCTAAGAAGCAATTCTGATGTTTGTAAAGCCACAGGTGTGTGACCACATGTCTGTAACAGATGAAAACACTAACGCTGTGGCTCTGAGAAATTTGCCTATAAGACCCTGAGTTGTAGACCAGGAGGCGTACCTCAAAGTTAAGTTTTGTTCTCAGTCATCCATACTCTAATTTTTTTTCTTTTCATGATATTTTACTGTATTTCTAGTTGAAGTCTACCCAGGAACTTAGATCCCCCTTTGACAATTTCCATACAAACTGGCCGATGACATTCATGACATTTTGACCATTTCATCAATTACTGGTGTAAGGATTACTCCATTTCCGGCACTCTAGTTCCCTGGTTCTTATTTCTTACCTTTGGTTTAGATTTGATGTAAAACAAAGAATCTGTATTTCCTGAATTATTACCAAGACAGGTTTTAAAGAACAAATTTGTACTGTGGTCAATAGAAAATAATTTTTTTTTTAAAAAGAAAAATAACTATTATGACTTACTACTTCATCTGCAAATCCACCAGCCAGAACCAGGGAGTAAGCTCCGTCATTGCTGCGACCGTGGATTCCACCAACATGGGGCCTATGAACACCTGCTTCGCTCACCTAGAAAAGGAACAAAAAGTCTTGTCATATTACTGACACTCAAGTGACATCTGAAAAGTGCATTCACATGTCACTGGGCCATAGAGTCTCTGACCAAGGACCAAATCTCACCTAGAGTTCTAGGCTCTGCTCTTCACTAGTTATTTGTTATAGATTATAACAAAGATTATGTCCCCTCCCCAAAGTAAGTATGGCTGACCTTAATCTTGTGCTTGTAATCCCCTTTGGGAATGGCTTTTTTTTATGTTCATGAGACAGTATTTTTTAAAAAAATTTTTTCTTCTCTTTGAAAAGTAAAGAAAAATTCTTTCATGGGTGTAAAAAAAAAATTTTTTTAAAATTATTTTTCATCTTAATGAAAGTTTACAGACACTGAGAATTTCCATTCATTCATTGTTGCACTTTTCCTCCCTGCCCTCCCCCCACCCATTTGCTCTTCTCTTTGGAAAGTAAAAGAAAAATTCTTTAATCGTTATACAATCCCTCCCCCCAAGTCCACTCCACTATGCAGCCTTTGTTCTGGACTCCTGTCATGACAATAATACCTAATCACATATCCCTTTTAAACAGTTGTCTCCCTCATCTGTTTCAATGCAGTACACATTATTTTTCCCATCTTTCTCAGTCTCTTCCCAACTCCTGATGTCAGTCTTGTTTTACAACCGCACGAGACAGTATTTGTCAATCTCTTTTAAACTATAAAAGAAAATGAAACAAGAAATCCCATAAACACTGCTGATGGCAAGTCACATGAAGTCTTCAAGGGATCAACAAGGATTTCCCCCAAGGACAGAGTCTGCACATCCCTAGAGCCATGCTGAGAGGGAATAAATTTCTATTTGTTAAAATCATCCACCTTGCTATTTCTTTATGGCAATGGTGAGAAAATTGCTACTGAGTTGCTATACCAGCATCTCCAATTCTGAGTTTAAAAATAAGTCTCATGTTTATTGGTACTTCTGGCTAAAACAGAACTTACTATCCGTGTTAGAAACATAAGTTACTGTAGATTCTTTGTTATTCCTCAAACCTGTTTGGTCACAAGCACTGCTGATTTTGCAAACGACTTCTTTAAAATGCTGAAGAGCAAGGATGACACTTTAAAAGACAAAGCAGACCCAAGCCATGAATTTTCAAGTGCTGCACATGCATGTGAAGCTGGACAATGAAATAAGAAGAATCAAGAGGACCTGACTGAGGTGCTGGCACAGAGCATGGAATACACTGTGAACACCAAATGAGCACAGGTGTCTCTGAAGAAGTGGTCAGCGTGCTTCTCGGAAGTGAGGACGGTGAGATGTCATCTCACATTCCTTAGCGGGCTGAGCTGACACGACGACTATCAGGTGCACAGCAGAGACTGTGAGCAGTGCAGGCTCAAGAAAGCAACTGCTGTCTCCCTCCCGAGTCTCTCAAGTCCACCCTCACGGCTCCCAAGTTATGATGTTATGGAAGTTTATCTCCTCCCAAGAGATGATCTGCCTCTGAAAACCTGCCAGCGGGTCAGCTATGGGTGGGTTCAGACTCTGCGGCACACAACGCACGACCCAAGAACCCAATGCCTGTAAGGGAGCTCTGGCGGGAAACCTGAATACCACGCATGCCTCTCCAGTAGACGGTATCCACCACTGGCTCCCGGAGACACTGGCAATCTCCTGCAGGATTTACATTCTCGAAACCCAACGGAGGGCCAGCTATGAGTGAGGAAGACTGAGCACTCTCCTTTACTGCCTCCAGCTCGGCTTCTTTCAAGCCTATTCTTTCATCACAAACACCAATCCTTTATAAATCCTTTTGTTTTGTGCTTTGAATGGCTTACAATATCATGGCTCCCACCAAGTCTAAGCGAAGCCTTACTCTTGCTGAGTCTGGTTCCTAGTTACTTTCCTAGCCTCATCTCCAGGTTCTCCTTCCTGGAGCTTATACACTTGAGCCAAAACCCATCTGTGTTCCCAACTGTGCTATCCCTTTTCTGACTTCAGTCATGCTACTACTGAGCTTCAATGGCCAACTGCTTTTTTCCCCTCCAGTATGTCTTCAAGTTAGGCTCAGCGAAACAGTAATTTCTGTGTGTGAGTCAAGCTCCACGAGAAAGTAATTGTAGTTTAACTGTCATAAAATTATTCTTAGCACAGAAAGGGAAGGTGGGCTTAGAGCTTGCACAGTGAGTGAGAATAAACAAGGCACTAGCCTAGGGGCACTTCTGCAGGACACAGAGCCCAGAAAAGAGCTGAAAATAAACGGTAGGCTCAAGTTCAGACAGCGAGTTGACCACTAGTGCAAGGCGACCCCACTGGGGGATGCTGCTCCCCTGCCCTGCTGGAGAGCTCTCTCCGTAAGTCTTGCATAGTTGGGAACAGGAAATGCTCGCACAGTGAACACTGAGATTCCGTTACCACTGTCTCTCTTGACTGCTGAGTCAGAACTTATAGCTGACATTCCAGCAGGTTTTCAAAGGCTGTAAATCACACTGAAGTGTTCCAAGGTTCATGCCTCTGGCCTCACCTGTTTATACTCACTCCCTATTGCAGCTGCCTTCCAGGGGATTCAGGTTCACAGCAACGTAATCCTAAGGGAGCTCTGGTGGCCTGATGGGAAGGAGTTCAACTACCAATCCGAAAGCTCTCTGTTCAAATCTGCCAGCAGCCACCTCCTCACCTCTGAAAACCTACTAAGGGTCAGTTCCGTAAGCAAGTGTAACCAAACTGGTTGGTGCCGCTCATAAGGGAACTCAGTTTGTTCTAGTCAAGTAACTGACTTGTCCATTTCAAAGGACTTCAGGCTGAAGTTGGTCAATGTTCAATCATTAACCCCCTCTCTCCTTTCCTTTGTTCTCGATGTAAACAGACCCTTCCCTGGGTCCCTCTAAGGAGACTTATCCGCTTGTAAGAGGCCTTTCTGACTCAGAATGACTGGCTACCTAGTCCTGCACCGTTCTGATAGTACTGTCGTCTGAGAATACTGCTGCAACTACTGCAACACTCATCTTGTTGAAATGTTTCTTTTTCAGACCTTCAACTTCACCAGGCACGTGTCCTCCAGCAGGGACGGATTCCTCCTGAGCTTGCTGTGGACCTTCGAGCAGGCCCCTCATAGCTGACCCTCCAGCAGGTTTTCAGAGGCAGTAAATAACATGCAAGGAGACTGTCCATTTTTCTCCCATGAAGCTGCTGGTGGATCTGAACTTCAGGACTGCAGTGCAGCTTCTTACTACAGGGCCACAAGGGCATCCCTGATAGTACGTTCCATCGCATCAGATGAGGCTTGTCATTACATCTTAGTAGCACTTCTTCCAAGAGCAGCTTGTTCTTCTGGTTTGTTGTTGTTGAATTTGACTCATAGCAACCCTATGAACAACAGATCTGCAGCCTGCCCTAGCCGGTGCCATGCTCATCATCTCCGACAGTACCCGTGTGCCCACTGTTACAATCACTGTATTAATCCATCTTGCTGCCGGTCTTCCTCTCTTTTGCTGACTTTCTTCCTTTCCAAGTATGAGATCTTTTCCTAAGGACAGGCCTCTCCTAACAACACAGCGTGTGAGAAAAAGCTTAACCATCCTTGCCTCTAAGAAGCAACTGACTGCACTTCCCCAAAATGTATTTCTTTGTTCTTTTGGTAACTCATGGGATATTCACTACTCTCTGTCAACATCAGAATCCCAAGGCATTGCATTTTCGTTTATACCTACTCACTGTTCAACTTTCAGATGCATAGCAAGTAACTGAAGAGATCATGGCTTGAAGCAGGCATATCTCAGTACTTAAACTGAGATTGTTTCTCCTCAGCGTTTGAGAGAGGTCCTTGACAGCAGATTTTCCCCAATGCATCTTTTGATTTCATGACTGCTGATACCAGGGCTGTTGACCCAAGAAAGACGAAATCTTTGACATGAAATCTTTCCTTCATCTATCATGATGCTGCCTACTGGTCGACTGGTGAGGATTCCTGTCTTGATACTGAGATGTAATCCATACTGAAGGCTATAGTTTTATTTTCTGCAGTCAGCATTTCAAGTCCTCCTTTCGGCAAGCAAGGTGTCATCTGTCTAACACACTTGGCCTATCAATCTCTCCTCAGAACCTTTTCTTTTTTATTTTATTAGTGTGTGTGTGTGTGTGTGTACCGTCAAATCAGATCTGATTGGGACAGGAGGAGATTGTTCCTCCTTTTCCAGCAGAGCATCTGGTGGATTTGAACCATGCACCTCTGGGATTGCAGTACACCTTCTTGCCACTAGGCCACCAGAGCTCACCCAGAACCTTTTCTTACTGAGACAGATCTGGGAAGCTCACACTCTTGTCTCCTGTATGCCATCATACATAATAAAACCACTTCTTCCACGGCCACCCATGATTGGTTTTTCTGGTAGCCAGGGTCTGACCTGTGCTTCTCTAGTAACTAATGTGGCAACGTGAATGGGAGTTTGGGACATGGAGACCTTTGTGGGGGACCCAGCTCACCATGGACACAGGGAGGCTACCAATCAACAAAGTCAGTCTCCAAACAACAGGCTGACGCAGTGAACGCAGCAGAATCCAGAGGCAGTGGTAGCTGCTGACTTATGGGAAGGGGTTAGAGTCCCAGCTCGGCGGGTTAAGAGGCGTCTGCTTCCTTTTTCCCTTTGCATGAGGGAATGGAAAACCAGAACCTAAGCTGGCTACCTTGGTGCAGCTACAGTTCTAACTCAAGCCTGAAAACACACAGGGCTAGCTGCCCAGCAGCAGGAATACCCAAGAGGCTGCAGACTGACTGAGCGCACTGAGGTTTTCCAAGACCCACTCTTTGGCTAAAGTGAGGTGATTTGAATTCTAAGACTCAAATTCAATTAGCAAGAGGTGAAGCGTTACAGTCCTGTAAATCCACTAAGCCTGGGTTAAAACAGCAACGGCCATGTATGAATGTGTGTGTGGTAGGAGAAGTATGCTGGGAACTGAGCAGCCTCGAGACTAAAGAAGGAAAGGATTTGGTTCAGAGACTGACTTCTCTCAGAATTGGAT